CCCGGTTTGCGATGGAGTCCGAGTTACTGCTTATGGCATACCGCAGCGTCCGTCGTCCGTCGTCTGTCGTCCGTCAACTTTTTGCATTTTAATCTTCTTCTTCAAAACTACTGGGCCAATTCTGACCAAACTAGACATGAAACATCACTAGGACAGGGAACTCTGAATTTATGAAATGTATGGGGGCGTAGGCCAAATAGGTGAAAAATGGAGTTATCTTTAAAATCTTCTTCTCTACTTTTACAAGTAGTAGAGAGTAATGGCACATTTAATTATAATCATCAACTAGCCCTCTTTTGACTTTATGAAATTTAAGGCCCTGGGGTCAAGGAGTCGAGAGGTAGGACGGGGTCAATATTGTGTACTTGATATGTAATTATGTATTTATACATTTAATTTTCTTCTTCAAAACTACTGGGCCAATTTTGACCAAATTCGACTTGGAACATCACTAGGAGATGGGGATCAGGGGTCACTTGTATAAAATATCTCAAAGTTAAGGAAATGTTTTATACAAGTGGGCCCTGACTTTATGAAATATATGGGGCTACACCCCAAGGGGCCTGAGGGGCGGTGCCAAATAGGTAAAAAAATGGGGTTATTTTTAAAAATCTTCTTCTCTACTCCTTCAAGTAATGGCAAAATAAACTATAATCATCAACTAGCTCTCTTTTGAATTTATGAAATTTTGGCCCTGGGGTCACGGGGTCAAGTGGTAGGGTGGGGTCAATATTGTATGCTATGAATCGTTGTATCAGTTGAGATCTCCATCCCATAACCATATATAGCATTGTTGGGCATCAAGAGATAAACACAGTCATGATGTAAAAATAGGCCATGGGATCTTTCCCCACCCCTAGGGACTTAATTTCTGGGTGGTTAATTCTTTGAAACCGTTGAGATCCCCACCCGATACACATATATAGCATTGCTAGGCATCAAGAGATAAACACCAGCATGATGTAAAAATAGGCACTGTGGTCTTTCCCCACCCCTAGGGACTTAGTTACTGGTTTATATCTTTGAAACCGTTGAGATCCCCACCCGATACCCATATATAGCATTGCTAGGCATCCAGAGATAAACACAAGCATGATGTAAAAATAGGCCCTGGGATCTTTCCCCATCCCTAGGGACTTAGTTACTGGGTGGTTATATCTTTGAAACCGTTGAGATCCCCACCCGATACACATATATAGCATTGCTAGGCATCAAGAGATAAACACAAGCATGGTGTAAAAATAGGCCCTTGGGTCTTTCCCCACCCCTAGGGACTATATCTTTGAAACAGTTGAGATACCCACCCCATAACCATATATAGCATTGATGGGCATCAAGAGATAACACAATCACGATGTAAATATAGGCCCTGGGATCTTTCCTCATCCCTAGGGACTTAGTTCCTGGGTTATATCTTTGAAACAGTTGAGATCCCCACCCTATAACCATACATACAATTGCTGAGTATAAAAAAAACCAAATGCACATATGCTTCCATGATGGTCCTGGGGTCTACCCCACCCTTGGAAACTTGACCCCTGGGTCATAACTTCGAAAAAAAAGGATCCCAACCCCAAAACTTTATATACAAATGCTGTGCATGGGGAGATGAATGCAGTCATGATATTACAATTGATCCTGGGGTGTTGCCACAACCATAGGGACCTAGTTTCTGAGTCATAGCTTGGAAATAGTTGAGATCCTGACCCTATAACCATACATAAAATTGATGGGCATGAAAAACATGATACAGATATGCAACAAGGATTGGCCTAGGGGTCTGGCCCATTCTCTTGAAACTTATTTGGAGAATATTTTGCCATGATTGCTTAGATATCAAGGTGAACGATACAGGCCCTCTGGGCTTCTTGTTTTGTTTCTGTGTTGATGTTGTTTATTTGTTTTCAGTTTTTGTGTCGTCTGCAACGCGAGGCGTCATATAGGTATTACTTTGTCAGCGTCGGCATCGTCGTTTGCGTCGTCCCAAACAAGATTTCCGTGTGATATAACAAAATTGGTACTCATATTGCATACCAATATAGCTCGGACAAGTTCGCATTCCAGAAGTTTACATGCATGTTTAGTGGAGTTATGCTCCTTTTATTGCCAAATGAGAGTATTGAGTAGGAAATGAAATAACTCTTTTAATTTTTTAATGAATTCCTTTCAAATTTTGTACGGTAATGCTAGAAGCAATAATGGTCAACATGTATTATGGGTTGTCTGTCGAGTTTCAACTTTCTGCGTTTTTGCATATCTGTTTACAAGATAACTCAAGCCAAACACCCTTCTTATTAAAAGCGCTGAGCAGGCAACACATCCACTCGTGTGGAATTCTTGTTTGTGTTTTATTTCAATTTCAATTTCAATTTATGTTTTCAAAGACTTTCTAGCACAAAACAACTCAGACGAAAACATACTGCAATATTTTCTATTAACCAACCGTGGGTGTAATGTTTACTGTCTTCGCTTAACCCGATTAGGTTTGCGCCCGATGCAGTTCTTGGACATTTATGAGAAAGTGGTAAAGGTATTTTTCGTGCAACGTGCTTGCCCTTTTTCACGTGTTTTCGTTATTGATGTCCGTTATTCGTCGTGGTTCAAGCAAATAGCCAAAATTGCCCCGTGCAAGGAATAATTCTTTCTTTCGTTAATTGTGAATTTCATTTTGATTTCGCATTCTTACGTGCACAGACCCCCAACCCCCTTTGCCCACCCTCTTATGAGTCAATAAGGAATTAACTCTCGAAGTCTCTCTTTATCTTTGCCGGCACGTTAAGAGGTTTAACTGTATTTCAATCATTTGATATTATTTTGTTATTTTTCATTCAGGGACGTGCCTCAATGTGTGGAATATTGACAGAGCATAGAATCAGTTAGTATTTCGTTGACCTGTTTGCTATTTATTAGTGTATAAAGCAGTTTTATTTCATTTCAGAATATTTTATTGTACTGATCTGACGCACAAAAGGAATTTGGCAACATGCATAGCTTATATAAGCCCTCTCCTTACAAAAAATGACAGTATATGGACATCATATACACGGTACTTTTACATGCTTTTTTAAGTATTAAAACAAGATTATTTGAATTGAATTTTATTGGACAATACATTGTACATATTTCAATTATCACAATTATTGTAAGAGATATTTTTTACAAAACTATTTGAGAACCTAATGAAAACGTCTGGTGTCTCTAATGTAATTCTGAACCGTCTCCACATTATTTCTATTCATATTTATGTCTTGTGATTGAAAACCTTAAGTAAAAAGTAACTGACATAATGTTATGTTAACTTTTCTATCCTCGTGATATTTACAAATATTACTTCATAGTGGTTGAACATCCGTATAAGATGAACGTACACAATCCTTTTTCAGAACTCCATGATATGTCAGTGTGTCAAAGCAGTTCCTCCACAACTATCTTAAGGGAAATATCTGTGCGAGATAAGTATTCTTAAAAGGAACCAAACCTGAATTGTCAACCAGATAGCATATTGGAAAACCATAGGACACGACTATGGAATTTAACGCTGGTTTTGACCAGCACAAATACATGCAAGACCACATCAGTTATTATAGCCCAATAAATGGATAGTTTGCTAAGTTTTCCGAGACGAGACAATCAATAAACATCCTTGTCTTCTATTTTTGGAACATTAAAGATATCAAGAATAGACCTGTTGTATCCCACAAGTGTTTCGGTAAATATAGGGCCCTTTGAAGAGTCAGGCATTTTCCTCGGCGTCTTCTACGAAAAGGACATGGAAGAAACAAACAAAACATTGCAACACTTTCTTTGATTTTTTTGATTACTATCTTTCCTGTCTTATTTCTTTTCAATCTATTTTCTGTTTCAGGCCCAAAGTTCCGAAAAATGTTAGTTGTTATTCCCTGCTTAACGTTCAGGATTAAGGATAATAGCAACAACTGTTCACCCGTTGTCAGTATAATGTGACCGGGTGGAATGCGGTGCTGGGTGCCTTTGGCATGGTGTTTATGTTAGATAGCAATATAAAGTTGGCATTAGATCCGCATTCAAGGAGGCAGCTACACCAACATACCCTGTATTTAGCACACATACACGAATGCATGCTAACACAACACACATGGAGGCACGTCCTTAAATGACATTAGATATTAAGAGGACGTTGAACCAAATAAAACCATTCTGTTTTAGGTGTTGTCTCCAAAGGCAACGTCCAACATATCCGCAAAATTGCAGAGGCGAATACGACATTAACATCTTAAGCTTGGTTTTGGTTTGGTTTAGTTTAACGTCCTATCAACAGCTATGGTCATTTAAGGACGGCCTCCCCTGTGTGCAAGATGCATGCGTGTAGTACATGCGTGTGTGTTTTGGGAGGCTGCGATATGTTCGTGTTTGTCTCCTTGTAATAGCGCGGCACTGATGCCGACTATATAGTGCTACCTCACTGAAACATACTGCCGGGGACACCCAGCAGGACACCCCACCGGTCACATTATACTGACAACGGGCGAACCAGTCGTCCCACCCCTAAATTGCTGAGCGCCAAGAAGGAGTAGAAACTACCATTTTTACAGCCTCTGGTATGTCTCGGCCACGGATCAACCAGAAGCCTTTCTCACAGGGGCGAACGCTCAACTAAAGGCCAAAAGTGAGGCATTGTTAATGGAGACATTAGGAAGAAGAAAGTTGTTTAGAGAAAAGAGAAAATATAAGATCCCAAATTTAGTCACCTCTAACAATCATGCAATGGGGCAGCAGGTACATTTCTAACGCGTACCTGCAGGGACCTCATCTTAAGCACTCAAATACGAACAAACCATACACTGAGTCACAATTTTAAGTGAACAAGCAAATTCGCGGAATTTATATCCCCCGCTTGCAGGACATATTGTAGGTTAACATTATTCATGTTAGGTTTAAACATGTGAGTATCGTGCTGTTGAGACATAATGTATAGCTTGAAACTTGTAAATATGCACAAATCACAACGGTTGGCAAACTTAGCATGAGTCGGATGTGCATACGAAATAAGGTTGAAACATCTGAACAATAACTACAACAATTTTTACACGGAAACCAAAGAGTGCGCGGGATGGGTGGAAAGACAGAGGAACACAAACATTGTTATCAAGTGAGTTATTAAGCGGAAACTGCAGAAAATGACGTTTTTCTTTAATCAAGGGGTCATAACTCTGCAAAATGGAGTCCGATCACAATAGTTGTGAAACCTAGCTGAGCCCTTAATGCGTTGAATTATACTACGTAGTTTGAAGACAATCGGATAATATTCGCGAGAGTTAATGAACAAAAACGCAGCAGATAATAACGTTCTTCGTTATTCAAGGGGCCATAACTCCGCCAAATAGGGTCAGCTGAAAATGGTCATCGAACGTAGCCGATCCCTTAAAGCATTTAGCCCTGTGACAAAGTTTTAAGAAAATCGGTTAACATTTGTTGTAGTTATAGCAGACAGACAGACAGACAGACCTAAATTAATAAATAGGATACTGAATCAAATATAACATGAAAAACTGTTTTCAACGAGAAACTGTTGCAGTCCCTAGAAACTGTTGCATTCCCTTTTGGAATCTAACCCCTTTTTTAAGAATATATGTCACCAGTAATAGAGCATTGTTGATGATATTCCCCGGCATCTTCAGGCAATACTGTCATCACGAGCAGAATCACCAATGCATCACTCACAAACTGGTCCGTCATCAAGATGAAGTGTATTTGATCCACAATGTATTCAAATAGTTCATAACATGTGAAGGAAACAAGTCCGGTGTTTGAGAAAATTACATGACTTCTATGTCAGCACTGCAAGGTGTATTATTTCGACGAACGAGCAGACAGAATTGTCCCTTGTGTTCGACCAGGCTGCACATAAATAGTTTTTACTTGGTTTCTAAGAGGATAGCGATATATGCTAATGTAGCTTGCTTCCATGTCATTTTCCATTCTCTGTATAATTCCAAACCCTTCTCTGTCGGTTTTTTCTAAAGCATCCTGACTTAGATCTTTCACCCCACTGAAGAACTGACGCAAAATGGTTTTATCGTCAATGTCCCCCCCTACGGCTTTTTTTTTAATTAAATGATCAAAAACATACGAACGTTTCACCCTGTCCGGTATATGTTCTACGTGAGATTTCAGCTTATCCAGTGACTCCTGCAGCCGCTCTTTGTGTTTCACCCTGAGGTAGACATTGTTTCCAGAATTTGCATCTAACTGTCCCCTTCCTGTAAACACGACAAGTTCAGTGTCTTCGGTCAATTTCGCTGTGTCAGCATCCATTATCAGTTCCCGTAAGTGACATCCATTTGTACCCAAGTGTTCGAATGAAAACGAGGCCTTTGCCTTTTCGGTTTTAATGCCAACTAATGACAGGGCCTTTAGTCGTTTCCAAGATTGAATACTCCTCATCGTTACCGAAAGCAACGGATTATTGTCTAATACCAGCTCCAATATCCCCGTCTTATCCGGCCTAGTCTGATTATCTTCAGGGATATTCGAGATCAGATTGTTGGTAAGGTTGACTTCAATCAAAGAATTTGCTGATAAAAGGCAGCTAGGAAACTCCTCAAGTTTACAATTGACAAGTCGAAGGACTGTTAGATTCGGAATGCAGTGAAAATAATCAAAACTCTTAGGCTTAAACCTCAATCCTTCTAATCTCAAGCCGTTCTGTTCTTCATTTATCACTTTCAGCTTTTTCAATGGAAATTGTTTGTCAGTTGCCCGCTCTTTCACATCCTCTGTTATCTGACTATCCATGAAAAGACTGAATTTTTTAACGAAAAATCGATCATTTGAATTGAGAAGATGTAACAACAGCCCAAGACTACCGTAGACTTTAAGAGCGGGTGGTTTCTGAAAATCAATCTGAAATGGTACACGACATTTTCTAATCACCCAACAGAGATGTGTAGCTGACAGGAAACAATGAAAACAATTACACGTGCAATACATAACCGCAAGAAACAAGTTTAATGTATACAGTCGATAGATACAGGCGATTCTGCTGTATTCCTCTAAATCACAGTAATACTCACTTCGCATATGATCAAACCAAAAGAATATAAATGAGATGCAAAAGAAACTGGTCAGTGAAAGTAATGTCAGGAGCACGTATTGAGCGATACAGATGACACAAATTGTAAAGTTATGCAGTGACAATTTCGTTGTCGGGGGAATTTTGTCGTCAGTGTTTAAAGCGGCAGTGGCGGTGATGTCTGTTCTCATAGATAAAACCTTCTTATGAAGTTTCAGTAATTTCTGCAGTTTTGCTGGATCCGAAGCATCGTCGTGTGCATTGCTGAAGGTATCAAGCTGTTCTGTTTCCTTGTCCGTACTGAAGATGACATCATACGCACAGCCAAATGTACCGATAGCGTCATTACATTCACCCACCATACCTACGAATCGTTCTATGTATAGCGCTGAGCTAGGAAGTGTTGTCCACAACCGACTGCAGATAAACAGAAAGGCGGCATTTATCAGATAGATAAATGCAACGTTCTCAACAAACCACGGAATCATCTTTTGTCGACACTTATCGTCAATGTAAGAATACACTGAATCAGCATCCAAGCTCACCGTCTGGAATTGTGGACAAGATTGCAGAGAATATTGAGATGTGTTGTAGACACACTCGTTCATGTTGCAACTAAAGGTGTCAAATTCTATTTTAATGCCAGCCTCCATCACCGATATACTGAACAAAAATAACAACAGGATATCTGCAGCCCGAACCCAAGCAGGCTTGAGTAGTTTAGTTGTGATTTCGTCTTCGCGAAAATGATCCGCTAGAGTCTCAATGATCGAATCCATGGTACCTGTAACGCGTGGAATTGATTTATATATCATAACAATTTAATCAAGATCAGGTGACAGAACATTAAAATATTATTTATACGAATACTGTGTGAGAATATTAAAATTCCAACTTTTGAAACTTTGTAGTGCGGACAAAGATTATTTTAGATTTACATTGCTATTGATGATTGATTTAAATCCGAGTTTAAAAGAAGATTTGGAAGTCGTATTCAAGAAGTTGGAATAAATGTCTCATTTTGTTCGAAAAGGTGGGTATAATTTGTACTGACTGGAAAGCCAAGTTATCTGGTTTGATATTAACTGGCAACGTTAAAATTGAACAACTGCTCGGGTTACAATTCGAGCCAGAACTTATAAGAAGCATAGTTATTTACGCCGGCTAAAATTTTCGCGATTTTACCCAAAATTAGAAAATCAAATCTACACGCATTATAATAACGCGAATTAGATATGTGAAGAAACTATATTTTCGCGGTGTTTTAGTATAGAGACGGGACTCTCAGCATATGAAGTGTCGAATATTCAAATGATAGGCCCTATTACAGCATATTGAGCAACGAAAAAAATAGTGTATTTCATTAAACAAATCATCCACAAAACTATAAGATGTATGATATATTCTATTTTCAAACATCATTACTTGCTATGAATGCTATTTCATGACAATATTACGTTTAAAAAGTTCATTATCGTAGCTCACTTTTACGCTTGTCATATCATTCTGCAGATCCTATTTTCGCGATAACGTTATTGATCCGCTAAATCGTTAAAATGTCCTCCACACTGAAATATTCTGTTACATGACATATCAACCAAAGGATAAACATGCATTCACTCAATGTATAAAGGATTATGAATTAGTGGGAGTAATATAGCCGAACTTACCTCAGTTGAAGTAGACGATGATACAGAAACAATAGTTCTATACGACAGGCAAGGCAATGAACGTGTCAGTAGGTACTCGGTGGGTTGATTAATGGAATATTGAGAGAATCGTAACAACACACGAGCCTATAACCTCTGTCTACATCAATATCGCCAACGACCTGCTAAAACATGATAGGCGTGATAACCTCTGTCTACATCAATATCGCCAATGACCTGATAAAACATGATAGGCGTGATAACCTACTGTGTACGAGGTATTGCATTCTCTTGGGTGGTCGAGTGGAGGTTTAAATGGTGAGTAATTTATCTATGTATGACGTGAAAATGTGTGCAATCTATTTGAAAGGCTATGCGCAGCAATATTATCTTGATGTGACCTTATCTAGGCGCTTGTGAAGTTTAGAAATTGCTCGATAATGTCCGATTCGATCTTTTGCTGATTAAGATGACTGCATACAAACAGTAATATATCACAGCATGCATAACAAATGACACCTACATGATATTGCACCTTTAACATATGGTAATATATATAGTATGCCAACAATTAATTACATTTCATAATACAGTTTTATTTTCCTTCTGTGACTTTTTTATGATGCGATATAAAATATGACATTGTTATAGCCAGAACAGTCTAAGCAAATCATAAGCAATGACGAACATCTTATTCATTACTCATCGGTTTTAAGACTATCCTTTCATTTAATACACAATAAACATTGTATTTTATCAAAACTGATGTAATTTTTACTGCATTATCCATTTATATCCATATGTAATAGCCACCAGGGTTACGGTTAGTTCAAATCAGCTAACATTCCAAACTTTGTCGCACGAAGTCACGTGAGCCGAAAGGATGCAACATAAGTAACAGTGGCTTTATGTTTTACTTAAGCCCAGCTTCACATGCATAGGTAGAAATAATCAAACTTAGCATAAACATACCGGCAAGTGTGTCTGGCCAAACACTTTAGGCCTAGCTAGCCTGACACGTGCCAATATGTACACCGTATATGCACAGCAGTTGTTATAAGATCAACGCATTGTAAGGAAACTAATCGCATAGAAACAAATTTACTAAACGGACCGTGTAGCCTGATTAATTAATCTAACAACAAAATAATACATATTTGTACATACATTTGGGTGAATTCGATCAGTTTTAGCGTTAATGCATAGAATCCAAATATCCAGTCAGAAGAGGGTGATTAATAATGTTTAATTTTACACGCCCCGAAACGCTGACCGAATACAGATTATAGCACTTGTCAATCCAAATGCAAACCAAATTTGGTTATAATAGAAACTTCTAGAAGAGGTATTGCGCGGAAACTAATTAACGAATCAGAAGTAGATGCTTATGCCTCATTAATTATGCGTTCTTATGATTGCATTGGAATGACAATAAAACTCAACCTGACACATGCCAATATTTATTTGAACACATCATCTGGTAAAATATTAACCCTTTAAGAGGTTTATTACAAGGTTTTTTCGGAACCCATCAAAATGCCTCGATTACACAAACATACAATCTGATTTGAATTTACGTTCTGAACTAACAACACTGAAAAATTCGAGTGTTATAATAGTAGTGATACTAGAACTTTTACGTACATTTTTGTATTTGTACAACCGTTAAAACACGACAATATTGATATTAGATGGGAGACGGACTTGGCCCTAACAAGTTCGTGAGATAAGCTGCGTTTTTGACAAACTATGTACGATAGTACACATTATCATCTACCGATATATACTACTATTTACCACCTACCGGTAGCATGATAAATTCATTATCATTGATTGTCAGTCTGAAGTTGAGAACGATTTGAGAACAACTTGAGAACGGATTTTCCCATTCCACAGCACTTGGGAACGTAATTGCACAAAATAAGAACGTCTGCTCGCGCCAAATGACTTCCGAAACCGGAAATAGCGTCCACATAAAAGTGATCCGCGTAAGAAAATAGTCCGTCATAAACATATCAATACAAAGTTACGGGAAAATGTTGTGAGAAAAACAACACCATTTCAAGTGTAAATGTGCATATGGAAAAGCCAATGACGATAGGATTGTTTTAAAAATATATTTTGTCTACGTAGTTTTTCAGGTTCTTTGTATTCCTCCGCGCAAAACTACTTTTTGTTTTTTCGGAAAACATGGTGTTTAGTTGAGATTTTTAAATGGAGAAATATATAAGGTAGTATTATATAGATGATAAATAGTTTATCGTACAGTATTTTCAGTGTTTGTCGTTCAAACAATTTTCTCATCGCTCGCACGTAGATAAAATCTCGAGACCACCTGCAGTGGCCGCTCGATTTTATCCACGTGCTCGCGATGAGAACATTGTTCTCACGACAACACCCTGAAAATACAGTGTGATAATCTATAAATACCAAACGATATTTGACCTGGCCTTTGGTAATTTAAATCCATGTGAAAACATTGTCAAAGGTAGCTTGAATCATATAAATTTGCGTCTTGAAGATAACGATTTAAAGGAATCCACAGGTTATATGCAATCAATATAGTTTATAGACATTTTAACAGATGTGTTGATATAACGAAGCCGGAACATGATATTTGGGGAACGTAATTTATATCTTAAATGCTAATAGAAAGGTGTTTTATTACCTGCTTTATCAATATTAGAACACTAGATTAAAGAAAAGCACCGGTCGTACTTCCTAGTTGTCTGGTATATGATCAAGGTAGACAGGATACTGTGGTATTTTATTAAGTACTCAGTCTTTATCATTTTACACACTGCACAATTCCTAATTTTCTATAATGGTGTGTTGATAGACAGATAATCAATGTACCTGCAAAGCTTGATTTCCTTTGAAAATACACAAAGGCGGTTATCGATTCTGTCACAAATTCTGACTGCACGCAGCCCTTGTCTGCAAACCATTGGCCACACTGTTAGCTAATTATATAATGTCTAAGATAGCAATATTGATTTGTCCTCGATTTTAGAAAGCAACATTTAGTCCACCATTGAGCTAGTTATTTAGTTACGTGATTGTTAACTGCCTGCAACATTTAGTCCACCATTGAGCTAGTAATCTAGTTATGTGATTGTTAACTGCCAGCAACATATAGTCCACCATTGAGCTAGTTATTTAGTTATGTGATTGTTAACTGCCAGCAACATATAGTCCACCATTGAGCTAGTTATTTAGTTACGTGATTGTTAACTGCCTGCAACATTTAGTCCACCATTGAGCTAGTAATCTAGTTATGTGATTGTTAACTGCCCGCAACATGTAGTCCACCATTGAGCTAGTTATTTAGTTACGTGATTGTTAACTGCCTGCAACATTTAGTCCACCATTGAGCTAGTTATCTAGTTATGTGATTGTTAACTGCCAGCAACATATAGTCCACCAATGAGCTAGTTATTTAGTTATGTGATTGTTAACTGCCAGCAACATATAGTCCACCATTGAGCTAGTTATCTAGTTATGTGATTCTTAACTGCCCGTAACATATAGTCCACCATTGAGCTAGTTATCTAGTTATGTGATTGTTAACTGCCCGCAACATATAGTCCACCATTGAGCTAGTTATTTAGTTATGTGATTGTTAACTGCTCGCAACATATAATCCACCATTGAGCTAGTAATGTACACTGTATTATGTGATTGTTAACTAATTTATCACAACCTAGGTCGTCTTAAAGCGGTTCACAAATTATTATCCGTAGTTATCGGGCCCTTGCAACCAGCCAATATCTTTCTCAACTCCACAGGGAACACACAGCTGGTGCTGCCATTTCCACGCTCATAGCTACATCTAGCAATTTCAGCACTGCATATAACCACGTACGTCTCATTTACAGCTGAGTAGACTGGAACAAGTAAAGTATCTTGGTCAAGGATACAACACAGTGCCATGACTGGATTCGAACCCAACTCAAAAAATAACAAGAAGGAACTATTGCTATACAGATATTCACTTATTCACTTGGATGAGCGGGTGGCGCAGTGTTGGGTGACCTGACCGACCACGTGGGTTTTCTCCAGGTACTCCTGGGTTCTTCACACACTAAATCCCTCTGCACGCTTCCATCCGGGCGAATAGGAGTAAGAAAACTTGTTTCACAATTGTTGTAAAAGAAACAAATTATGTATTAATTATTTATCTATTATTGGAACGCCAATTAACGAATAACACAAACTGTAACTTGTTATTGTTATATTAATTAGAAACGTATTTTTCATTCTTAAAACGTCAATAAAAGTACAGATTTCATAGAAGAAATGTGAAATGTGTTTTTTTCTTTTAATGATATTCATGGTTTTTTTTAAGAATTCATTGATTATACCACAGATTTAGATCTAATTCATTGATTTTACCACATATTTAGATCTAATTCATTGATTATACCACAGATTTAGATCTAATTCATTGATTATACCACAAATTTAGATCTAATACATTGATTATACCACAGATTTAGATCTAATTCATTGATTATACCACAGATTTAGATCTAATTCATTGATTATAACACAGATTTAGATCTAATTCGGTGAATACAGTCTTCTGCACTCGGATTTAGTAATGAAATGGTATTGTCATACTGTAGGTTAACTAAACGCCAATATTTAACGCTGATCAAGAATGGTTAGTGGTGCATTTTCTTTCAAGGTTTGCTTTCTGAAATCATATGTACATTGTATATATGTATTACTAAATAAACTACCGCTTTATCTCATGATGACATCTTAATGTCAAATTTAAATTTAAGACAAGATTATCTTTTCATTCTTTAATGTCTCTGGTCAAAATGAAATACAGCTCTATAAAACATCGAAAAGCAGATCGCAAAGTGTTTACATTTTTAATTTAAAAAAAATGGTAAAAAGGTATTGTAACTTTTCCCTTTAAATTGATGATATATGTTTCGGTTCAAGCTACACATTTTTTTAATCAGATGCGTGTGGCGCAAAATAATAAACGTCTTCCGATAATATGCACACAAAAAGTTATCGTTAGAGGCGACTAATGAGGAGCCCCCCCCCCCCCCTGCAAAATCGTATTTTTTTCTTTTCCGTTGTCTCG